CTGCTGCTGGGCGGGGCTGGCCGGGCTCCGACGTGACTCATCAGCGATGGTGGATGTCGATGATGCTGATGGCCAGAATCGATCTCGGAAACAGTGGTATGATTCCGTCATGCAGATAGCTGGAAGGAAGTGGCCTCATCCGTGATGAAGAGTTTGTTTTTTAAGCCTGGAAACGAGTCCGTGGCCAAAAATCAACAAGCAAAGCTTTTGGCTGGCTAGCATACAAAATCCAGAATGTTCATATTCGGGAATCTGAGTCTTTAAACAGCTTGAAAACACTGAGCTCTGGAAAACAATCTCTTAATTGCCCTCCTCCTGATATCCTGTCTAGAACTTGTTCCCTCTCCGTGCCCTGTGTTTCCAAGACAGATCTCCACCCCACCCCCCCAGCACCTTTCTGCTCACACCGGGATGAGAAAGTGGGATATATTCAGCCGGATCCGCAGCGATCAGTTCAACCTCGGGCCGCGAGGCCGAGCAGCTCAGCTCATTTCGCTGCAGAAGAGAAAACGATGCTGGCGAAAACCGAAAAAAAAATAACATCGGCACCAAAATTCGGTCTTCGGGTTAAGGATTGAAATGGACTCCTGCCCCAGGCCCTGACAGCAAAAGGAGTTCTAGAACCTGCATGTAATAATAGAGAAATGTCCTCAATGAGCTCTGCAAACCTCCTGGCAGAAGCTACAGGCCTGAGAGGGGCTGGCTGAGATTGAGGTGCCTGGAGGTACAGAAAGTGACCATGAGAGACCCTGAGGCAATCCATGGCCATCCATTGTCCAATCACTTTCTCCAACACAGGGTGGCCGGTAAGCCTATCCCAGCAAGCAACAGGCACAGGGCAGGCCACCCACCAGACGGGACGTCAGTCCGTCGCAGGACACACACAAACTCGCAGCAGGCCTGCTCTTCTAGGAAACCGATAAATCTTCCAGCCCTGTTTTTGGACTGTGGGGAGGCCGCCGGTTGCCACCGGGAGGGAACCCACACAAACGCAGGGAGAAGGTGCGAGCTCCACACAGACAGCACCTGAGGTCCAGCACCCAGGGCCGAAACAGTGTGATGCAGCAGTGCTGACCACTGTCCCACATAAACGCTAAGCAGCTTACAGAGCGCCAAGTCAAAAGCAGCTTATAAAATAAAGGAAACTACATGCATCAGTGCTGAGTGTTTGTTACTCAAAACAGTCATCACCCTCCTCGCTGCCACATGCTCTTGTTTATACAAAGCAGTCAAAAGGCATATTTGCATCACATACTCTCCTAAAAAGAACAATACAGTTGTCTTTTGAAGGGGCTTTTTTTAAAATCTACATCTGGCAACCAAATCAGTCTGGATAACCCTTTCCTCCTGTCCCCAGAGATCCCACCTCTGCGAAACAGCACTATGAGATGACAGAGGGAAACCGAGAACTGCGCTCAGTCTCCTCTCAGTCGTGCAGTAATTCAAATCTCCACTCAGGAGCTGGGGGGGAATCATTTCTCTTGCTGGCCGTTCCACCTTTGCGACGAGATAAAAACCCAACACCGTGTTCAATCACCGCGGCCTGACACGAAGGCACAGGGCAGCCTGACAAAGCACCGCTGCTGAATTAATCATGTTCCCCAACTCCCGGCAGCAGGGAGAGGTGGCCACAGGCCCCAGAGCGACAGGCGGAGGAGTTTCAGATCAAATCCGAAGACGCCCCGCTCAAGACGACAAAAAGGACAGATGAAAAAGCAGTTTGTGTGCACGTGGAATCTGGATCGCCCAATCAGCTCATTTCCTCACCTACGGAACTTCATTACGGCAAAAGACAGACCAGCGGAGCCAGTCTCTCGGTATCTCTAACATCCTAACACACCAGTCGTCCAATCCACTTTTCTCAAAGGACCTCAACAGAGCCCTTCACCGTAAAATCAACCGCCTGAGCAATTCAGCAGCCGATGGCTACGATCCACGCTGCGGCGGGCTGGCGCCAGGACCCGGACCAGGGGGGTAACGCCGTGCTCTTGGAAAGGCGATGCAGGGAGGGTGAGCCAGCCTGACAGAGGGAGTGTGCAGGACTTGGCCGGGGAGCAGATGGGCAGGAAGGGCGGGCGGGGTCTCTCGCGAGCAGGGGCGGTGTTGCGGAGCAGTCCCGGGGGTGTTCCAGACGGCTGTTCACCCAAGAGAAGGGCTGAACGGATCCGGTCCAGGTGTAAAGGGATCGATTCACCCCTTCCCCGCTGCCTTAAGTCGCAGGCGATTTCAGCGGCGATGGAGGACTTGTGGACGCCCTAGGGTGCGCTAGATCGGGATGATCCGGCAGTCGCTCGGGAGTACCGGGCCCGTCCACTCCGTGACGGGACGGCGGCGCAGCCAGCAAGTTCGCTCACGGCTCCACCCTGCCTGGCGCGTCCAGCGGAGAGGCCCGGGAAGGTGGGAGGCCGTCTCGGTGCTCCGTGCAGGAGCAGGAGGGAGCAGGCTCTCGGAGGGGAGGGGAATTAAACACACGATGAGGAAAGGGGGTCCCCCTCCGTCACACATCCGGGGACCCAGGAACCGGTTTTGCAGACGCACAAACACACACAAGCCTCTCGAGCTTAAATAAAAGAGGCTCTCTTGCACACACCAGCGGCATGCCTGGCTGCCCGGCCTACTAACACAGACCCAGCCTGCTCTCGTTTCCTCCATGTTGGTTTAATCGAGTATGGGGGGGTTACACAAGACGGCACAAGAGGAAAGCACATTCACAAGTACAGGAAGCCAGCGTGCTCCAGCCCCTCTTCCAGGCGCCTGTCCTGCACACGGCCCTCTGCAGCTCCAGGGAAGCCCCCCTTTGCAAGTGTTTCCCATGATCTTCCTCAAGGGGCGCCCCCACATACACACACACACTCCCCACCCTCCACCCCTCGGAGCTCGCGGAGGGGCGGGCCCATTAAGGAAAGAATTCCACGGATTTGAAAAAATAACACTTAATCTCGTTCCACGTGAGCACACGACACTTTTCGCACACAAGAAAAAATCATCATAAACCCCCAGCGATGCCACGTCAGCGGATTCGGCCACTAAAACTTCATTTTTAAGCCAATATACATACATATATATATATAAATGATACATATAAATAAGATTTTCGTTTTCGCACTCCAAAAAACAATCATCATCTCCAGCATTAATAAGCATGATCGCACTCGTGTATTCGTAGCGGCGGAGGTGTGATTAACGATGTGCAGGGGCCTTCACTGCGCGTCACTCCTGAGCAACAGAAGGGATCAGTCTCCTTCTTCCCAGCAGCCCCCAGAGCAGGCAGGTCATCGCGTCTTCCTCCATTTTCTCCCCCCCCCCACTCAGTTCGTTTTTGGCGATGATGGAGACGAGTGATCGACAAGTGAAGGTCACCCCCTCTCCCCACCCCCCAACCCCGATTCCAAACCCCCACCCCCCACAGACACACACGCACACACTTCCTCTGCGCAGAAAGAAGGCGAAAACGATGTCGGCCTCTTGCAAGAACGAGCATGATGGCACTGGAGCGGGGCGCTCTGGGATATCTCTGTGCGAGAGAACAGAAAACAAAAACAGAGGGCAAGATTAGTTCATCTGGTGTACCGCCATTTCACAGTTATAACGAATCTGGCACAATTATAAATGCACCTATTTATACAGCAGGAGTGAAGAGAGTGAAGTGCCCTGCTCAAGAGTGAGAGCTGTGCCCCATTTGGGATTTGAACTGGCAATCTCATAATAACAGTGCCCACTACTGTGCCCACCAATTCGAGCGCAGTGACCTCAGGAAAGGTTCAGGCTTTCCCAAATTTCTTTACAGCAAATAAAACAGCATCCAACATTGTAATGCGGAGTCTGCCATCCTTGCGGCTGACATACATCGCCAGGAGGAGAATGTTTTAAAAGGAACGTAAAATAAATTAAAATGGATTTTTTGTTTGCCTAAAAACCCGGAATGTTACTGAACACACAGATCTGGGAGCAGGAAAAACAGCCATCGGACAGATCCTGAAAGGAAACTTGGAGCTCGGGAGCACAGATTCCTGAACAAACGGCTACAAAAATGAGCTGTGATTCTCTCAGCGCTGCTTCAGCAAAAAACAGCAAAGCAAGTACTGGCCCCCTGTGACTGAAACAAGGCCCCTTAATTATCATCAAGAGCAATAATTCCTGATTGTTAAATTATGCTGAGTTGACAATGACTCCAGCTTTCCGATAGCGCATTCATCCTGGAAACTGCTGAAAACAAAGAAAATTAGCAGCACAGGGGTGCAGATGATTATGCCTGCCATCGTATCTTTTAATTCAATATGGATTTACAGCAGGTGGCACAGCAGTCAGTGCTGGTGCCTCTCAGTTTGGGGGCTGGGTTCAGTTAACGATTGTGGATCCGTCTGTGCGGAGTCTGCATGTTCCCTCCTTATTCATGCAGGTTTTTCTCCGGGTAATCCTACTTCCCAAAGCCACTGCTTGCAACTCTGTAAATTGTCCCTGTG